TTCTGAAGAACCGTGACCTCAGACGCGGGAGGAATTCACAATGATGGAATCCTGAATAAATAGATGGGGTTTTTTTTACCTACTTTGATGAATAATACCAACTGTGGAATAATGATGAAACATTTTCTAATTCAACATTGAAATACATTTTTACACACTTCCTAAAAAAAAAAAAAATTTCAACCTAGAACAATTTGGAAAAAATTGAAAATCACTTTCAGAATCATACACTGAAAAAAAATTATTTGGTTCAATCGTTTGTCATCAAATAAATATTTATTTGGACGAAATAATTTTTAAAAATCAATTCGAAATTTCGAATTAATAATTTCTGTATTTAAAATAAATACATTTTTATTGACTCTAATAATAATTATTTGACAGAAATGAATATTTAGTAGAAATAAATATTTATTTGAAAAATTTACAGATTGAAGTGTGTTTCTAAAAAAAAAAAAAAAAAAAAATTGAGCAATGTTTCATGAAAGAGGACTCAAAGGAAAGTAAAAGACAAACAGGTGGGCGTCCTTTTGGGCTCAATTCTAATTTCAGGCACACTTCTTTAATAAATATATACCTATATGGGGCCTCACTTTCTAAAAGCTGTTAAGGTGACTGCACGCCGATAAACCGGCCGGAAGCGTCTGCATCTTACCAAATATTGCCAAGGCGTCTTAAATATTCAAATTAAGAACGTTACTCCAACGCAATTTTCTAGAACGATTTCTCTCTTAACCCACCCATGTTTAGATAGAATCTTCCTCTAAATTGCAATTGTCTAATTGCCTCTAATTCAAAGAAAAAAAAATCGAGATTTTCAACGCAACGATACAATTAGTTCAGCCAAATAAAATTTACTCTCAGAATTATTTAGTGCATTAAAAATATATATCCAGCGCAACACTGAATGTTAAATTAAATATTTATTTCAAAAATATATTTATTTTAAATTAATTTTAAAAAAATTTATATTTTTTAAATTGTAATTTTTGAATATTATTTAAAATTATTAATTTAAATATTGTTGGTTTCAAACTGTTAAAACGTCTTGAGAATTTTTAGTGATGTCATAATACTCACACGCCCTTAAGTATCAGGTTTTATATAATAAAAGTAATAGACCAACTTCTTTAATCTTAATCGTATAAATATAAATAAAAACAAAATTAATATTTATGAAAAAAAATATACTAAATTCTTTTTAAAAAAAATTTTTTTCTTTTAAAATTTGATAAATAAAAATCTTTTTGCATGAAATAATAAATTTGGATCAGTGTGATGTGTTTTAGACTTGACATATGAAAGAACGGTGTAAAAAAATATAAGGTATATATTTATATTATAAAGATAAGGTGTCATGAATCTTTGATGCGAATGACCTTCCAGAAAGGGTCAAACTGCTATTTATTCTCTTCAAGATTAACAATTTTCTTTGAGAGATACAGGGGTTCTCTCTCTTTCTATCGTCTTTCGTTCGGATGCAGGCAATTACGAAGGTCGTAAAAAACATCCTGGAATTTTATCGTGCTCTTGCCACGTAACATTCTCGCAAGAGCGCGATCGAGAATCCTAAGAACACGTTTCCAGGAATAAGGAGAAGAAAGTACTTTGTTCAGAGAAGAGTCAACATTTACCCAACCAAACAACTATAGTTTGATCAAACGTGAAAAACGCCCAACTTGCGAAACGTTTGTTGTAGAAAATCTCAAAAAAAAAGAATTTAAAAGAATAAACACCAGATTTTTTGTCGAAAATTTATTTTAAAGTTGATTTATGAAAGAGATTCTAATAATTTTTTTAGAAACGTTGTTAAAATTTTTCGCCTACAGTGGAAGGAGCTTTTCACATGTGACGCTCCACGAGGGAAAGGACCTTACGTCAAAAAAAATTTAAGGTTATGTTTGTAGTGAAAATATTCACAGAGAACTCTTAATATAAAACATATGGTTTAAGTCTTCATTACATTAAAAAAATTCAATAAAAACTAATTTTGATTTTACCTAATTAAAAAGAAACTTCTTATAGTATGAAACTATCATTACACATAACCTACAATTTTTTTGACGTAGGTCCCTTTTCTCGTAGAGCGTCACGTATTTAAAAAAATGTCTCGAAAAGACAGACTTTGGGATTTGTGCGACTCGAATGAAACTTTATAATCCTGAATTGGTTATATTTTCTCTAATTTGAAGTACACAACAATATGTTGAAATTCGAACATTTCGCTTTAAAAGAGATTCTCTTAAATTTAAAATGGAAGGTGAACCTGGCTGTTTGCAAAAAAAAGAGAAACTGGAAAAACCAGAAAAATCCGTAACAGTGATGTGGTGCAAGCAATATTCCTGAATCGCATATGATTCATTCGATAATAATCTTGACGAAAGCTTTAATGAAAATTATTAATTATTCCCCACCAAGTGGTAATAATTCTTTATTTATTACTCCTATGTATATACAATATATATTAATAAACACTCTATTAAGTTCCTCTTAATGATATTGTCCAAGTTACATCAATCTTATTAATCTTCATGTTTTACAATTTTTTTCCCATAATGATTCTATTTTATATATTATTAATGATATTTACACACAGTGTTTTTGAAGATCGTATATACCAATAACAATCTCCTATATCGTGAAATCTGATCTAATTTATAAATTAAAAAAATAATTAATTTCTCATCTTTTTCTATCTCTTTTAACTGAAAGCATTTTATCCCAGATTGATTGAAAGATTACCGAGTATAAATAGTTATAGAAATATAAATAAATTCCTAAAAGTCACAGATTTTCCGTATTGATACATTATTTTGATTTATTGTAAGATAAATACATGAAAAAAATTATAGATTACAGGAAATATCATGTGAATAGTTTTGAAAATTGAAAATTCTGATTGTGTGTTTTTGTAATCTTGACGTTTGAATGGAGGGGAAAAAAGGGGATGAAGGATCAGCCAAATAAGTCAGGTATGGGTCATTAACCTAAAAATTTCTACCTGTCATTTCCTTTTCAATTTCCCGCAGTAAACGAGGTATCAAGGGAGATACTGAGATTTCCAACAAATTGTTCTATAATTGTACCACTTGTTGGCACCAGAAAATTTTTACTAAATTTTTTTAACTCGCAACACTCACTGATGAATCAATTAAACAGAAGATGTTTTTTCTATAAAAACTATTTTAGGTTTAACGTATTTTAGAAAATAGCGTGAAAAGTCTAAAATTCTGAGTCATTCCTGAGTTTATTCCCCGGTAGTCATGATATTCATTTTGATTTTTAATTTCTTTATTTTAATTGATTTTTGGAACTAAAATTTAAAACATTCGTAAAATCTATTACCTCCAATTAATTAGTTTTTACTTAAAAATAATTCAAATTTTTACGCTGAATATTTATATTTATAATTTTTTTATCAATTGAGATAATTGACTGAACTAATTATATATCATCTGAGAACTATAAATAATTTTACTTTCAAAATTAATTAATTTTTTTTTTAAATGCTTTTTAACTTTTAAAATCAAAATTTATATTTTTAAACCAGAAATTATTTCACAATGCTTATTAAAAGATAGTAACCAATAGTGTAATAAAACTATGATTATTAACTAAACGAAATGATTTAATTTTATTGCTTTATTAGTTTAATGAACAATTTTTAATATTGTTTAGTGAAAAATAACAATCCGAAAAAAATTTAAAGTTTAAATGTTAAAATAATAGAAAGTTAAAATTGAATAAAAAATTTTTAATTTTTATATATTAAGATTATTAAGATAGCTGCAATGTTTTCAAAAACCGGCTAAATTTTGATTTTGAAAATCAGGCGCAGACAGTATATAAATAATTTACCTATACTCTATCTTCATTCAAATCTTCAAATAAAAAAAAGCATCAAAAAATAAAAACAAACATGTGGACAATTTTCATTTGGAAACATAGTGTACCATTAAAATTTGAATTTTATTAATAATTATCATTTTTTAGCCAATACTCTTAACAGCAACAGATACTTCAGAATTTCCTACAATGACAAAATTTTGGTGCAGCAGCTGCCTCAAATGAAAAATTTATGTATTCAATTAACTTTATACTTAATAGTTTAACAATTGTTTTTATATGAGTAAAGTTAATCAAATATAAAAATTTTTCGTTTGTGCACCAAATTTTTTTCAGTGAAGGGATATCACGTTATTTAGGTTTAAGGAACATTCTGTACCTACCGAAAATTAAGATTCCTAGAGTAATTATAATTATCGAAAGGCGCCCAATATCCCTAGGACATTCGTAGAATATTTAAAAATATTCGTACCAGTCAAGAAAGTAACGATTACAAAATTTTAGGTACATTACCTAAACCATTTTTAATAAATAGAAAATTAAATTTTTATCCAAATGCAACTTTTAATAATGCTAAAAGAAAATCCCTTCTAGCTAACATATTTATCTTTCTAATTTTTCCAATTCTTCTACAAAGTTTGGGTCTAAAATTCTGATGAACACTGATAAAGCTAATACCTCCGATTGATTGTTTATTCACTAAATTAATAATCACTATAAATTTTTGCACTCTAATGCGGAATAATATTCCGCAATGAAATAAAATTCTTATTCCCCATCTTCAATAAAAAAAAAGGTAACAAAATTCTCTTTTTGTTATTTTTTAGATGAGTGCAAGTTCTAAAAATATCCTAGAGCCCAGGACTTCTGAAACTGGTTGCAGAAAAGGTCAAGCTAAAAAAGCTTGTCGCAAAAAGTGGACAACTACTGTCAAGTTCCTTGACCTGCGGCACTCAAGACGAAGACATTATAAAATAAAAAAAAAAGAGAGAAATGGTTGTGGCTTGAAGAATAATCTTTGTTCATCCTGACACCTCGTTAAAATCACATGTGAGTATATATGTCTTGAGAATTGTTGTCGTTGTTGTTTGTTGTTTTACGGATCGTGAGCTGACTTTCGTTTCCGTTTTGCAGCACACAATAGTTACACTTACCCGTCCCCATGGCTGATCGCAGCCTCCTTCCACCTTAATCCACTCGCGTTTATCCAGATTCAAAAAAAAAAAAATTGTCTCGCGTTCGGTATCACTATATTATTTAAAAAAAAAAATTGATAAAGGACCTCTTCGTCCAGTCGGGAGACCGCGAACGAACTGGTACCAGAAGATGACTTTTCGTGGGACTTGGACGTGAGACCAGACAACGTCATCGTGAATGTGACTTCGGATTGGTTGAGCGAATAGCTTCTATCTTTTTCTCTGTCTCACGCTCACAAATACATACGCCATGGGATTTAACTCTCATCCGTTTCCTTCTCGGTAATCTTGTGTCTCGCTCACACATTTTGCTAACGCCTTTCTCCTCCCACTCTTTCTCTCTCTCTTCATCGCGAGTACAAGACTCTATAGCACTATTCCACTGTACACAACCTATAGGCTAGGATTCGAGTCAGTGAGCTCAATGCCTGTATAGCTCGCCATGAAGGAAAGTCTCTTTATGGAATTATAGGAACGAGCCATAAGAGGTGTAAAGTTTATGTCTTTAAGAATACGTAATTTTTTTTTTTTTGCTGGCGAATATATAAAGTATCGTCGGAAATAGTAGGCCACCCATTTTTTTACAAGATGTATGGCTTAAGTTTACGCTGTTAATGTAAAAAATACCATTTTTTTTTCCTAAAAACATAACGTAAAATTCTTCAAGGCGAATAGTATATATTGTATTCTGCACAAGAAAACAATAGATAATGAGTTCTATGGTTTATATATGGAATGTTGAAATAGGGTAATATCGTTGAACGAGACTGAAAGTCATGTAAATTTTGTGATTCAAGGTGTACTGGCAAAAAAAAATTCTGAATTTCAATTTTCGTGACAGATATATTTATGAATATATAAAGTATCAAAAAAGAAACAATACACATTTTTAAAAGAAGGAAAGTAACTTTAATTATAGTTATAGGCAAAAAGTATTTATGTTAGACATTCTTTAAAAATAAATCAAATTTTTAATTAAGAAATAGTAATTGCAACCTTATTGTCAGAAAAACATATATGAGTTTCTTTTTTGTTAAGAACGTATACCACATAAAAGTTTCATCATTGAGAGTATAATATATATATAGAATATAAGTGTAAAAATGCATTTAGATTTTTTAATGAAAAAGAAAAGTTAGAAAATTTTCCAGGAAAAATAAAAACATTTCTTCAGATAAATATTTAGGAAATTTTTTTTATAATTATATATAAAATTCCCTGATTAAAATTCTGGAATAATCCGAAATAATAATATTTGGAAACAGTCCAGTTTATGGTTAAGTGTTTGTCGTCTGCGGAATTAGTCCGGCTATAAGTCCGAAGTTTTCCCGGTTTGTGTAACTATATAGTAAATCAGGAATTAATGTCTAATCTGTAGTCAGCCCAATCCAATTCGGATTACGGATTTACTATAGTTATACTGACCGCATTAATTTCTGATTTGACCAGACTGTAAATAAAAATCCACATTCACTATATAGTTTAAATATTCATCGGACTAATTTTAGACGACCAAAATATACCTAACTGTTTCGGATAACTTCCAGAATTTTAACCAAAAGTATTCCGAAATCTTTATGTAAAAAAGTCCATCATTATCCGACTTGGTATCATCAAAGTCGAAAATGATATCACCACCCACATAGCACGACTTCTTGCTGGGAGGTTACTGTAACGATAACTGTAGGGTTTGTAAGGTTACCGTGTAAGCCTACAGTAAACTTGAGGTCATCTTAAAACTTCCGCCTTACAGTAAGCTTACACAGTAAAGCTAAGGTAAGCTTACACAGTAAGGTCGTGGTAAGTTTACATGGTAAAGTTTGTGGTAAGCTTACATGGTAAGGTAGTTGTAAGCTTCCTTTAAGGTTACTGTAAGGTTGATGTAAGGTTACTGTAAACATAGAATGTTGTTAATAAATAAAATTTATTAATATTTATGCGCAGTAGTTTTCTATGGCACATACGGCTGCGCAGTAACTTTTATTTGACAAACCCTATTGGGGTTCATAAAGTACTTTACCAAATATATAATTTTTTATACAAAAAAATTTATAATATAATATATAATATAATATAATTATTTTTAATATATTTTCATATTACTTTATATTAACAGTAACCTTACAACAACCTTACCGTGTAAGCTTACCACAACCTTACCATGTAAACTTACCACGACCTTACTGTGTAAGCTTACCTTAGCTTTACTGTGTAAGCTTACTGTAAGGCGGAAGTTTTAAGATAACCTCAAGTTTACTGCAGGCTTACACGGTAACCTTACAAACCCTACAGATATCGTTACAGTAACCTCCCAGCAAGAAGTCGTGCTATGTGGGCAGTTGACAACAGGTAGGATAACATTAATTACATAACATATTAATTAATTAATTATGTTACATCATGTACATTAAACAGATTGCTGAAATATGCAAAATGCAATTAATGAAAATCTGAAAGACAAAATTTAAAGACATAAATAACCAACCTAAGGGACAGTTTCACCAACTCAGCATAGGTTAAAAGTTAATTATCGATTAAATCCAATTTAACCGCTCATGATTGGTCGGTTAGAGATTTAATCGCTGATTAACTTTTAACCGAAGTTGGTGAAACTGGCCCTAAGCCTGCTTGTGGTATAAATAAATACATATACTGAAAAAACGATATTCTAGATAATTATAAGAACGCCTACTTAAATAGGAGCCACGAATATTCATACAATAAGAATATATATTACTTATTGTAAGAATATATCCCACTTACTTTAAATGGGGAATATTTGTGGCTCCTATATATTTAAGTAGGCGTTCTTAAATCTAGAATATCGTTTTTTCAGTGTAAGCTTATAAAGTCAAACTAGGAACAATGTCTTAATTAATTAAATTAATTGAAAGTAACTTCAAAATGAAAATACAAACTATTAAATCGCATTTATTATTAATTATTTAATACTAAACATTTCGTATTAGAAATTGCGCAAAACTGCGCAAGTAGTTAATTTTTAATACGGTTAAAGGTTTGGTTTGTGAGAGGCAACAAATTACCCATACCGGTATGATACCGACTTGGTAATCACTGTGCTAATTCAAAATTTGAACAAACTTGGCACCTATTAGATAAACCTAAATTTTTAAAATATTCGCCATGATACATTTTTTTGGTCCATTACGAAAAAAAACATTTAGTTCCTAATTAAAAAGCATCGGTTTTACTTGAAACCCATTACTCGAGGGTTTTTGGGGATTTTAAAGCGAAATCAATGAATATTTTAAGATGTCGGCTATATTAGATTCGTTTTTTTGAATTTAAAAATGTTGACATCAAATTTGTAATCAGTGACCCCAAAAACCCGCAAATAAACAAGTTTTAGGCAAAGCTGATTAATTTTTATAAATTCGTCCGCCATATTGGATATTGGATCAAACTGTTTTATCTGTATAAATGCTATTTTTCCTCCAGATCTATACCTCGGTGGTCGTAAGCATTGGCATTACTCCGATTTTTCATTCTGGGATTATCCAATTCGGTTTTATTGTGCTGTGGTCTAACATCCTAATCAGAAATGAATCTGAAAAATACGGAATTCGCAAATCAGGATACAGTTCGCACAATAATATGAATCCTAAGTAATCCGTATTATAAGTGCTTAACATTCCGAATTTGGTTTGGTCAAATATTCAAATTCGAAAGTATGAGTGGAATAATTCGAAATCTATATTCATAAGCAGCATTTAGTGCCGCTACAGTCTGGAACAATTGTGAATAATTTAATTTGTTTAAATTATTGTGGACTAATACAGGATTTCTCCCTAAGATTTCGGATTAAGATTTTTCATCTGAATAATTTCATCATGTTGCTAACTGATAGCGCGGATTTTGCACACTGAAAAAAATTTACTTCGCATTAATGACTATTAACCATAGCAACTTGAAATCTAGTCAGCGTAACCGAGCATCCTAGTCAATTCAGTTATGTAGCTTGGTTAATATTGTCAAAGTCGATTTTGCTAAAGTTTAATTAGTCAAAGTGATTCTAGCCAATGTAACTAAGATACCTGGTTATTCTGATAAGCTTCCCTAGTCATTCCGACTAATTGTCGAAATCAACTTTGACCATAAGATTGCCTAGTGGGTTCCTCTCGTAACCAGGCAAATTAGTCAATTCCTGATATACGGGGGTTAGGAATTTTTTTCAGTGCACGTATGAAAACTCCGGAATCACTTTAAATTCAAATATTTGACCCGACTTAATCCGAATCGATGCGAGTTGATTTCAGATTATGTGACATTCACATTCTCAACTTAATATACAGATTAAATATATGTTCCTTACATACAGATTTTGGATTATTTCAAATTCTTTTCAGATTCAGATTTTTGTGCATACTGATGACTGCTGATTTTGTACCTATACATAAAACTTCCGGATTCCTCCGGACTTATTTCAAATTAGAATATTATTGATCAGATTAAATGCAAACAAAACGGATGAGTAAAACGACTAACCGATAATTGTGTATTAACCAATACATTTTGACATACACGGAAAGAAGGTTTAACTTGAAAACCCAATGCACGATCTTGCACTGCAAAACAGACTGTCAAAGCATGCTGATTGACAGTGTATAGGCACTATTATGGATTTTACTGTATTACAACTGCAAATTACTGTGTCAACACTGATTGGTACGATGCATGCATTAAGTAATTCTCAGTATTTCGCACCGTCAAACAACGTCACAAGCTCTGAAAATCAAGGTGCCTACCTTCTTTCCGTGTACTTTGATTGCATGATTTTCTATTTTTGTTGTCTGACAGAAGAATATGAATTGTTTACCGATCGATTTTACAAGGCAAGGTATTTGCCTTGAAAATTTGATAGAAATAAGTTAGTGGATTTTATCATCTACTACAATAGTGAATGGTAAAATCCACTAACTCACTTTTATCAGAGTAGCCAAGATCCGTTCTACAAGTAGAGATGTTTCAGTTATAGATAAGGAATCTAATGAAGTTTATGTGATTCGAGTCGGAGCCTAAAGAACGATAAATTCTTTTACAATGAGTAGGAGACTCATAGTAAAATTTCCGAATGTTCATATATG